ATATATATATATAATAGGTTTTGTTTTATTATATTGTTTAGAGGCTATCGGTTCCATGGAGCGCAGTGTTACGGTCTAACCATTTATGGCAATTTTAATTGCTCATTTCTGTAGTAATTTTGGATGGTACATGTTACTTATTGAGCTTCCTACTTTTATGAATCAAATACTAAAATTCGATATGAGTTCTGTGAGTAACTTGTGACTGGAAATTAAAAATTAGAAATTTAAACGATGTCGTAACAATTGTTAATTCTAATAATCTTTTTTCGTTTATCGAATAGAATGCTGGTCTTTCTTCCATGCCATTTTTATGTATGTGGATTTTCACTATGGTTCTTAGTAAGGTGTTAGCCATAATGCAGGATAGAAAATTAATTTCAGTGACGGTATCAAGAAAAATTGGAACATTATTCTGTAAGTTTGTCATTAATGTGCACATATATATATATATATATATCTTGAAGATATAAAATAAGTTTCAATAATAATTATTAAACATATTATTTTTAGCATCTGTTGTTCCCATGATTTGTTTAATAGGAGTATCTTATGTTGGATGTAATCGTACATTAGCTGTTACATTAATGACTATTGGAGTAACTTGTATTGGTGGAATGTATAGTGGATTTCTGTCGAATCATATTGACATTGCTCCAAATTTTGCTGGTACTCTCGTTGCTATTACAAATTGTATTGCTACTATACCTGGATTTGTAGTGCCAATATTTGTTGGAAAATTAACGCACGGAAATGTAAGTGTTTATATCTTAAAATACCTTACTTTAATAATCATAATATCATTATTAATACTATTATTATTCAATTTCTTTTATAGCAAACTATAGGAGCATGGAGAATTATATTTTTTACAACTGTTGTTTTGTACATAATTGAAATAATAGTTTACACTATTTTTGGAAATGGAGAGGAACAATCCTGGAATAAAACTAAATTAATCGATGAAGAAATAAATAATCAAACATTACCATTAAAAAAAGATTTTAAGAAATGAATGTAACATTCAAAAACATACAATTTGAACAGATTTTTAACTCAATTTTGACTTTGTATAGTACAAAAAATTAATGATCCTTATTCTATAAGAACTTATTTATACATTTAACATTATTATGAATTTTTGTTTTTATATGAAAAGTTTTTCATTCTTTACATTATTTATTATAACGAATGATAAAATATATTTTTTTATTACTATTATACACATACAATATTAAATATTATTTATTAAAGATAATATTTTACACATTTATAACAATATTTACATTGAAAATACAAATTTAAATATTTATTTATTTAATATAGAGAAAAAATACTCATTTATCTTTACTGTACTTTTACTAATTTACAAAAATACATTGGACCCCAATTATTATGACAAGTGGGTATAACAATATGACCATATTTTAAACCAATTCTGCCAAAATCATATATGCATCGTAAGGGCAACAATGCTTCTGTCATATCTCTATAAAAATCATACAATATGTAAAAAGTTTATGTAATAATATAATAATATAATATATATGTAATAATATTGTTTATTTAGAGAAATATACGAACTACGTACTTCACAACCATGACACAGTTACTTTCTTGCCATGCTCTCTTTAATGCTACTTGTACAACACCATCATTTTGTATGGGGCTAAGAGAACATGTTGAATAAACTACTGTACCTCCTATCGATACTAGTTTCAATGCATTCCTATAAAATTAAAAATTAATTATTTATTACGAAATAGAAAAATATAAGATATATTTCATCTACCGACGTTAAAATTTCAGACTGGATTTCTGGCAATTTTAATCTTTCCTTAACCCTGCTTGGTTTAAAAATATTGTTTTCATCAGAATGTAAATTGTGTCTGTCAGTTGTACATGGTACATCAACTAAAATCTAAAAAGATTAATAAATGTGAATTTTATATTGATTTCCATAAAACATTAAACATTAATAAAAAAGACATTGCATTAAGATGTACACCTTATTATATCTACCATTTTCACTGATTGCTCTAGCATCTTGTTGAGTTATAAGAAACATATTTTCTTTCTCACAAATATTTGAAACAAATTGATTCATGACATTTTTAATTCTTTTTATTCTAGATTCAACAACATCATTAGCAATCACTAAACGTGGCATGAGAGTTTGAAGAATAGTTAAAGCTTTTCCTCCAGGTGCAGCACACATATCAAGCACAATATCACCTAATTGTATATCTAGAGCTAATACAGGAAGTATAGATCCTCCGTCAAATAAATAATAATCTAAAAGATAAAATAAAAATAAAATATATTGATAGTATTATATATTTCATTAATAATTAATGGAATATTTTAAGATATATAGAAAATTAGCTTATTATTATTATTGAAATTAAAATAATACAAACCTAACACACCAGTAGTTCCTTTTTTAGGACTTGGAAATCTAGTATAATTATCTCTTTCAAAAGTATATACGTGTAAATATTCTGGAAATGGCAAAACATGCTCATTCTCAATATTTACTTTAAAATCATCAGCCTCGGTATAAAATTTATAATGATCAGATTCCAAAACCCAATCGTCTAAGCCTATATATAAATTCATTTGAAAAAATATAGTATTAATTTAATTTAAGTCAAAAGAATTAAAACAAAATTAATTAGACAAACCCTTTATTTTGGTAGCAGGCACGTATTCTTGAAGCATAGATAAATTTACAGATGAATCAACAATACGAGTATTGTCTATATTAACATCATTTAAACTTGTATCTATAGATTGTAATTTTACAGGTATATTTTCATTCTTTTTATCAGATTCCGTACTTTCAGCTTTTAAGGCTTCTAATAAATTTGGATAATTAGCAGGATAAGCTGCTTGAAGTTCTGACAACTGATCTGTAGATGTTTCAGCTTCTATCGAATTTTGTATATCATCAGATTTACCATACTTGGCCTCTCTTTTACTCTTAAAAAAATCTACATTTTCTTTTTGTACATTATATAGACTCCTTAAATTTAATGCACCAAGTAGCTGTAATAATTTTATTTTCCTTTTAATATAATTTTTAATATTTTTTAATATTTATATTTTATAACATTATGATTTTTTAATATCGTTATCGATTTACCTCTAAATTAGATTGAATTTTTTCCGTATCACTGAAATTATTAACTACAGCCACATACTTGGACTCTTTTTTTAATAACGCAGTTCGTATATCCTTCCAATTGTTTTTATAAACATTTGCGTAAAAATCATCAAAGTATTCTAGCGCTTTATCCTTTGTCGTTTTCTTTTTTCTTACAACAGACTATAAAAATAATTGTCTATTTTATTAGACGAATTTTCAGAAATAATAGTTTTCAAGTTTTAATAACATTTTAATAACATTGTAGGGTTATAGCGATACAAACCCAATGATCTTTTCCATGTGTACTACCAGCAGCATATCGAACAGATAATTTTACAATTTTTTTTAATCTTAATTTATCGAGCAACAATGCCATTCTTTTCAAACATGCAAACGATCGATTCGAATTCTTATAATTCGTATCACTTGCGTTTTTCAAACACAATAACTAAGCTGAACATCGTGAAACGAAGAAGCGAAGGTAGCGGCAATATTCGTTACTCGATTTCGCTACTCGATGGCGCTGCATGTACATTCAATTTTCTTTCGAACGCAAGAAGTGGTCGACGTCGATTAACCGTTAGTGAGAGCGATGTAAAAGAAGAAGGGCGTGAACCAGCGTGAACTGCAAGTACAGGTGAAACAGGACAACCGACAAATCCACGAGTTACGGTACTACCAGTGCTCACTTGACTAACACTGGACGATACATCTTTTTTATCAAACTAGCGTTAACTTCTCCGTAAGCCATTCTTCTCCTACTTTGCCGACTTTCTTTATCACAATCTCCTTGCTACGAGATGTAAATAAAAATTGTAAAGATAAATGCATGTACATGTATACACGCAATACGCGTCGATCTATGTAATATATCAGATGCAAACGACAAGGAAGCGACGTATTTGTCGTGACATCGAGATGAGAAACGTGCCGAGTAAGATGGAGTGAATGGGGGTGGTGGGGATGGGGACGAACACATCTTTGTGCTCCCCTCTTGTGAAGGCGCTCGTGCGCCGTGAAACGTGGCTGTTTCGAAAGTTCCTACTCGAAGAACCTATTTTAGATGCTATAAACCATTTCGACTTGTGAATCGTTTTCGGAGGTGTACGAGCCTCGATACATACCTGGACAAAAGAATAGGAACATATCTCGATATATTTCCTATAATTCATACCGCACAATTTTTTTATTTTCCAATATGAATATTTAAGCGTTTCACAAAAATGACAAAAAATTCATGATAAATGTATAGACTCCGTTTCGAAAATACGACGTATCGTCCGATAATCATAGAATAATATAAAAAAGAAATTCATAATCATAAGATATAGAATGAGAAACGTAAATCGAGAATGGAGTAAGACCGACATGATAATCTTGTTACCCTCGAAACGCGTACAACGTACTCCGGTGAAAGTCTCCACTGTAGACGGTAGACGTGAGTTCAGTGTTCTCGAGGGGAACGAAAGGAGAACGTCGCCGCGCAGGAGATCAGCTCTTTTGCTTCGAAGCGAAGATCAGAACCGTAGCCCATGGGGTGCGGTATACATACCCTATGTGTGGCCAGAGGAGACGCACACCTCGTCGATACTTTCGTGTTCATTGTCACGCATACAGAAACTCTTCCTCTCGATGAATCTCGACGACCCGAATCGCTCGACGGCGAAGCTGGTTTCGTGGATCTCTTCATGAGAGGCACGTCGTACGCGATTTGTCGGGGCACGGGGTGTGACGGGGACTCGAGGGATCGTAAAGGCAATGCACTGTAAGGAGCTCACGACGACTATACCCTCCCTCCGCCCCTCGCGCGTTCGCGCTCGCGCGCGCGCCTGCCTCCCTCTCGTTCTCTCGCCACCGTCCCTTTCTCTCCCTTCTTTCTTCGCTCCCTCCCTCCCTCCCTCTCACTCTCCCACCCTT